AAACATGTTGCTAAGAAAAGAGAGGTGATACTTGGCTATCTCCATGTCAGGCTTTCAAGCAAACAGACGGAAAAACATTTTAGAAGTGTCACTTTCAAAGCAGATCAACGTTCTGCAGAACCCTCGATGAGGAAATGCAAGACAAGAGACAGGAACCACATGGAGATGCCATCTGTTGTTGGCCAACACTGCAGAAAAGGTGCCAAACTGCAGACCCAGACAGACACATATAAACACCCACATGATAAGAAAAAAAAGCGTAAATAGGAGTGGAGCAGAGACAATTATAACACAGCATATGGCAAAGTATGATTTTCGAAAAATAAGAAGATAAAGCTGAATTTAAACAAAAAAAAAGTGGGTTGGTCGCTTGAATTGAACAAATGATACAAACATTACCAATGGTACTTAAATGTTATAATATACAGTGGAAAAAAATTATTATTAGGGCCTTAAAACTATTGGAATGTAAATACTTGTCTTACAGTGTATTCATGTTTTAACCTGTTAGATTTGTTTTCTGGAGAGTCAGAAGCCTGTTTTAAAGGCAATGCTATTATTTAATAGATGTACATAGTAGATAACAACCTAAACAAATACAAAAGAGAAATTAATTTATTTCCTCATTTGTAATTCAATGGTTTTGAGTTATTTTTGCAACACTGTACCAATGGATCTAATTAGACGGCACGGAACATTGTGTTTTAGCTTAGATCTAAAGTTTTATTTTTGTGTTACTAGCATCAATAGAATAATCTTCATTCTTGAGGTTGGAGAAGAATCTTCTCCCACTTAATCTATCAGGGTGGCAGTGAGGCTGGTGCCTATCTCCAGCAGCATAGGTGAAAGGTCTTTAAGTAAATACCTAATTAAGGTGAGGGTTTACTTTTACTGTTGCTCAAAAAGACGAAATTTAAATATGTAGCAAATTTCCAACATAATAGTCAAAATGACCATTGTCAGTTTTGGTTTGCATTAGCATTGTTGCTTAATGTGCTACAAACTGAAAATATTTATATAACAAAAAAGTTTTCATATAGACTTAATCTCCAAATATTTTCTCTAGAAGCACTCCATGAAAACATTTTTTTTATTTTAATGCAACTTACTATATAACTCTAGATTATTTGTCAAAGCAATAAATGAAGTGTTTTTCAGGGATGATTCATAAGAGAAATACATGTTTGCCAAAGGTTACTAGATCTGCACTGCATGTTTAATAATCAGGAATGGGAGAATGCACATGCTATCTTGAATAAAATAGAATAGAACAGAATAGAATAGAAAATCCCTTTATTGTCCCACAATGTTTACAGCAACAAAAATATTATAGAAAATTTGTCACATAAATGTGGACCTTAGAAAAAATGTGTAAGAATAACATAATAGTGAAAAAAATGTGCAAAATGAAAAGTGTTGGTTATAGAGTCTTTCACCTGCTGCGATGGAGGATCTGTGATAACGCTCAGTGGTGCATTTAGGGTGCAGCAGTCTGTCACTGAAGGAGCTCTCCACTTCTGCAACAGCTTCATGCATGGGGTTAAAGACATTATCCAACAGATATGTCAATTTAGTTAGGATCTTTTTGTTTCCCACCTCTTGCACTGAGTCCAGAGGGCATCCAATCATAGAGCTGGCCTTCCTGATCAGCTTATCCAGTCGCTTTCTCTCAGCCACAGATAAGGTACTGCCCCAATCTTGGCTGTTTGTGTTTTACAAACAGTTTGGACTATACTTGCTATAATTGATGTCAAGGCTCCAAGATGTAGCAAACCTATTGTTGCCAAAGACCCCAGCTCACCTTCAGTGCAGGGCTGGTTTAATAGCAAACCTTCTGTCAAAAACAGGTGGTTAGAATTTTAGCCCTGATCGATGTGTTACTATTGACCAGCCAGAGTTGATTAAAATGCTCTCAACATATTTCATACTTCCTGGATTGCATTTTTCCAGAAAATAATCTAAAACGATGCTTTCCCTGAACCATCAGTCGGTACCTGGGACTCCTCTGAGCTTCTGTTTTTAAAGACGACTGGCATCTTCTCCTTTGCTGACATGTGTTCAATGTTTTCTCGTGACTTGTCATGGGACTTCTTTGCAAGACACACACTCACACAGAGTTCCTCAGTTTATTTGCTTTTTGGAAAGTAAATCTTTGTCTTCCACTCTTTTCTCTGCAGACTTTAATCCAATTATTCTGCAGGCAGATCAGCTGCAACAGATGTGCTCTCTGTCCTATAAATTCAGACTGGATCATTCTTCCTGGATTGCTTTCTTGGCATCTCAAAAGAAGCTCCTGTTGTGTTATTGTGAAGTCACCAATTATTTAAAATTTAAGATTTAATAAAAGTTTGTTATTTTAAAACCTGAACAAATATGAATAGATATCTCTCCCACATTAATTTGTGGTATTGGTTTTGCCTTTGGCATAACAAATATATATATTGAATTGAAAAAGCTTCCTGGATGGGAAGCGAAATGTCTTCAAACCTGGAAACAAATCCCAGTGTATTGTTTTTTAACTTTTTTGGAATGACTATGACCTGGATGACTGAGAATCTTCACAAGCTTACAGCAGATATGTAAAAAAAAAAAAAAAAAAAAAAAAAAAAAAAAAGAGGATTGGAAAGTTTTAGTTTTAAAAATCATAATGGACTGAGATGGTAAGGTAGGTGTTTGGTGTAACACTCAAAGCATTTTTAAAACAGGTACATTCCAGATTATTCAAGAATAACATAACTCGCCTTATAATCAACAGCATTTTTTAGTTTGATGGTACCTCGACTGCTGTTCATTACTGTAGTTCTTGGATTTTTTCAAGCATTTAATATTTTTTTCTTAAAACAACAAACAAAGGTTTCATTTTTTCATGACATAAGATTCATGTTAAATGCTGAATGCATTCTTGACACCTAAACCTAATGAACAAAAACACTTCTCACTGAGCTGAGGAAATACTGAGTAGAACAGTCACATTTTATTGCAGAAGCCAGATACAAATATTTTAAATAACTTTTCCACTACAGTAATTCTTTCAAAGGGGCTTATTCCTCCTGTACATTAATAACAATAGATTATATGATTACAAAGCAAACTATAACTTAAATATCAAAAGGCTGTACAAAAATCAGGAAGTAGAAGAAGTTGGTGTAGACACTACTTATAGCATACAGGTATAAACAAAACATACAAAAGAGGCACTTATGAATATAAGAGAAACCTGCACACACAAAACTGTATGTTTACATATTATTTTCACAAAGAGTCGACATACTTAAGTCCATGTTATCATACAATCTACCTGATAAGGTACTTTTACAATTATATCAGATACACTTGGCGGAAGAGTGATGTTGAAACCTTGTCATCTGTTCCCACAGGAAGAACATGTGATTAAGTCAGGAAGAACCGATTTCCCTAAACATCCCCAACCCCCCACCCACAAAAAAAAAAATGCCTGGTTCACATCTGGCATGGCTTTTAATTTCACAGATTTCTTTCAATTGCAAGAAAAGATAAGTCAAACAATTAGACTTAATTGGCCTCTAACCATCTTTATAAATTACAGGATTTTAGTGCAGGTATCTACGGTACGTACTACATCCTTTTTTCTGAGCTAAATTAGAATATTTGTGCAAGAGAATTTTTCCAAATTAACATACCTATTTAAGCACAATGAGTACTGCAGCTCTACAAGCATAGGCCTAAGGAGTAAGTCAACTTCACAGACTAAAAACATGGTCAGAACTACTTAAGGTTAAAGTTCACATTAAGTTGTATATTGGCCAAGGTTACACAAGTTGAACAGGTCTTTTCTTTATAGTGTGCAGCAGTTCAGAGAAACCTATAGTGTATTGACTAAGGAAGACAGATTGTCAAAAATATTAAACACACATGCCACCTGTTCGGTCACGATAACGTCACTCAAAATCAACTTTTATAGTGTTTTCTATTGTTTGTTTGTTTTTTGTTGTTGTTTTTTTTAGGAAAAGAGGGCTTATAGGTGACATTACAACCCGTGCAGAATGTGCTTATAAAAGTTTTCTGTTGTTGGCACCAAAGGACTTAATAAAAAAGGTTTGATCTCAGCAATGGGTGGATGACAAAACAAGCATTTACAGTTTCCTCTATAGTTTTTTAGAAACACAACCTCATTTTAAATGGTCTATAGAATGAGATTTCAATGCCTAGAGTTGACTTTTAAAGGCTTAATACCTAATGACCATAATCGGAAGGGGTTTAGAGCATTTAATTTAATTAAGGTAAAAGTAAGGAAGTTAAATAATAAGTAACGAGCTTAAAACAATGGGAACTCTGATAACGAAGACAAGAACCAGAATATATTAGCAGCACATACCACAAAGGTCTCTGTTAGAGAGTGGAGCAAAGACTCCTATTCTGTCGCCATAGTAACTACATACCAAAAAAAGAAACTAAACAATAAACTTTTTCAGTCCTACATTCACAAATGTAAACTTGTGGAGTTTTCTATTTGGAATCAGACAACTGCAAACTAATCTGTAGGTTGGTTTAAAATGACAAGGGATAAATGTTTGATAAGGATCTGCAATGCTGCAGATCTTTTATAGAGAAACATAAATAGCCTTCCATAATAGTTATTTTACAAACATTCTTAATGGCATAGAAAATCCATGCAACCTCTTATCTGATTTGACTTGATGTTTTTCTATTTGCAAAAAGGGAGTTCAGCGGATTGTAAAAAGCAGTTTGACTTAATAGTAAAATATTATTTTCTAACCTATTTAGATCTTTTACACATTACATTTGAGATCATACTGCTGTAATAAAATCTGATTTTTTAAGGGTTTTTAAAAAATTTTTTACATGCCTCTTCCATTGATAAGAAGTAATTAAGGACGAAGCAAGCTCTCGTGAATTTATCCTTACCTCTTAAAGGAAACTACCTCTAAACATTGTTGAGTCTAGGATATTTTTCCATTAATTAATGTTTACACACCGGATGTTTCAATTTTTACCAGGACTGAATGTCACCAAAAGCCTTACAATTCCCTTTTTTTTTTTTTTTTTTTTTTTATAAAATCAACTAAAAGGTTTTGTATTTTGCTCTTCAGGTGAAACATTAAAAATCACAGAGTAGATACACGGTTGTGTCTGCTATCAACAAAAATAACGAGGCCTTTAGGTCAATCAAAAAAACTGGTTTTAAAGTATTGCTCACCAGTAACTCATCTTTTCCCTAGATAAAGAAAGCACAAATAAAACAAACTATTCTAGTCATCAATATTGCCTTCCTACTAGAGCTTAATGGTGAATCATGATGTAAGGCAAACATCTACCCAGTGTTTTCTTCTTTATAAAAGTTCAGTCCTTCTGACAAAAGTCATTTAATTCATGTCTCCACTGGTTTGAATGGTTTTGGAAGGTCATTGAAAATTACGATATGTCTAAAAAATGAGATTATAATTATATGTAACCAGTTTTGCAATGTATTTCTAAGCCCTTAACCTGAACTGATTCTCTTTTTTGTTTATTATTTTAAATGTGTTTCACTGCTGATATCCTGGGTCTGAGTATCTAATAAATATAAAACAGAGACAATCTCTTTCCAAAGGGAGTGAGCCTAGCTGTACTCACTCCTCTCTCTTCTCCCACTAACGGGCATCAGTGGCATTTGCAATCCGGCCTCATAAGAACCAAGGTCTGGGAAGCCCTTTATCCCTCCTCCAACCAAGTCCTGGCACATTATGGCATCATGGGAAGACACTGTGATCCTGCTACTCACTGATGAGGAAGTATTCTCCTCTACCCTCCTGTTTAGCTCTGGTGTGGGAGCAGGAGCTCTGATCCCGCTGCTCCCGGCGCCGACGCTGCCAGTGATTCCCTTCTTAGGCGGCGGCCCCCAGAGGAAGGCGTGGGCAGGTTTGTAGTGCTTGCGAGCGAAACGGAGCAGGCGTCGCCGTGTGGCAGGTAGGCGGATGGTGTAGACGAAGTACTCCAGCACACTGTGCTGCATGTTCGGAAGGGTGACGTTGCACAGCGACTCCTGGAGGAAGAGACGAACCAGCGGGGCCTTAAAAGCCTCGTAGCCAAGCTCACCCAGGGACTTCAGGATGCGAGTGATCCTCAGGTAGTTGTGATGAGACCTAAGAAGAAAAAAAATGAAGCAGTAGTTGATGAAAATTCTGATGGATTAAAAGGCAAATTGTAGCAGAGTGTAACTGTTCTACAAGGTTCTTCTCCTGAAGGAGTAAACACACCATCTTATAAGTGCTCCCAGCCCTGTGATATGCTGGGAAATTAATGGGGAAAAAACATAAAGACTGAAGCGATTACTTTAATAAACCCCTCTTAATAACCATTTTCTCCTGCTACTCTACAATAATGCATTTCTGATTACTTCCGCCATTAACCGAGCTCCAATTGTGTTTGTATTCAATAGGAAAAAAAACCTGCCTCAGTGCTTCTGTTTTCAGCCATTTTTCTTTACTCAGTAGAACCAAAGATGGAGCTAATGCTGGAGATAACTTTGTGTGCTGCCTTCATTTTCCTTACAGATAATAAATCCACCAGGATCAGAGCTTCTGTGTTTAAATGGGCTGCTTCTCATTGACAACACAAAAAAACACAGATCATAGTTAAATAATAACAAAATAAAAAAGTAGTTCAATGAAGAGATGGTAAAGATGATGAATCTGATATGTTGGCTCAAACTTACATTATAATAACTAAACATCCTTTTTATGAAAACAGTATAAAGAGTGCCCTGATTAAGACCTTTTAATAGTACTTCTAATAGTTGCGAGGGCTAAATAAATCTGACGGATAATTACAGACCCGATATCAAGAAACATGTTGCAAAGAACATACGTTTCTGCTGTTAATCTCATCCTTTTTCAAGTTTTTTGTAAAGTCCTGCAGCTATTTTTCATGCAGAAATGAAAATGATTAATTTTGCAAATTTTTCAATTCATCTTATTCAGTTAGCCGCTCCTTGATCTGAGCATGTCATCTTTGAAAACTCAAGAGCATTTTATTAGTTTTAAACTTTTCCCAGCTGAATCTCCTAATTGTGATAAACTTATTCTGTTCTATTTAGTTCAATCATACAGGCATTTGCTTCTGGAAGTAAACAGACATTTCCTATAGGCCATGAATCACCTGAATTGCATGTGGAAGAAAAATCAATTTCCTTGTAACTTAAAACATGCTGCTTTATATTTGGCTGCCAATGGGGGAGCATTTCAGTTGCATTGAAATTAGAATGATTACCTTCCTAAAAAGATGGAAAAGTAGCAAACGGAAAGGAAATGATAGGGTTCCCCACACATATTCAGCAATTTATCATCAAATGGCTGCTGCACAGCATGCTGTGTGCATGTGTAGGCTTACTCATTAAGGTGCTGGAAGCGTTCCTGCCAGTTGGGGGCCCGAGCGACATTACCACTTTTATCCAGCAGTTTGATGCCATAAAAATCCAACATCATTGAATAAGCCGCCAAGAATCTCCGCTTTGCTTCCCGAGTGCTTTGGAATTCCTGATGGGTTTAAAACGAAAAACAGGTTCGGTTCATCAGCACCTTTCTACACAGACAAGAACTTGTAAAGACTATACAGAGAAATGGTTACTTTGTTTCCTCTGCAACGTTGCTTTGTCTCTAACTAAATATACATTAGTTATTAATGTTGATGAATGAGTATTGGGGCATAATTGACACATTTTCTCAAACTTAGCACTAAAATAAAACAAAGAAGCCAGGTTCTATTGGTAAACTTGGACCTTACTTTGATCTCGTCCTGAGTCAGTTCATGTGCGTAGAAGTTGAGCCCTTGTTCTCTTAATGGGAACAGCCTGGGACACAGGGGAAGGAGACGAAAATCCAGGTTAGAAGAAATGAATGAGAGGATGATTACTCAGGGAATAATATTGATAATTAGCTGGAGCGTCACTTCCTCAGCACTTTTTAGTGCTGCTTACAACAAGCAGAATTAGCTCACTCCTCTCTTATAAAGGCAGATTATCTTTAAAATAACATTTAATATTAAAGTTCCCCATTTAAAAACTCGCAACTCTGATATGAAGGAGATAAGGTCAATATTGTGTTAAATGTTGAGAAAACCTTCAACTTAATGAGGTCAAATGTTACCTAACATACAGGAAAGAAACCATTTCATTTGGTTACATTAAAAATATTTCCATTCAGACCACGACAAGGAGTGAACTTTTTAAGACAAGCTTTACCTGCTTTAAATGTTACTGTCTAAGGTGAAGATTTATGACCTCAGTAAAAGCATAAAAGTCATCCTGAATAAAATTGATCAAAATAACTAAGTTATGATTTGAAAGAAGCCAAACTCTTTACTTGTTAGGGGCATTTCTGATCATTTTTGTAGTAAATAACAAACGTAAAAAAACTCAAATGAAATAAGGGGATTAAAAAGTTTAGTCCTACCTGATTCTGAGTAAATGAACAAAAACTCAATTATACAGAGAAGCAAAAAAAAAATAATAATAATAAAATAAAAATGGCAGCACCCAAGAATAAATATGTTATTGATATGTATGATGTCCTTAAACATGAAACAGTATTTATCTCATATCTAGTAGCATGAAACATCCAGCTTCCAACAACCTCATAAGTTGGTTAACAAACTAAGAGACCCAGAAGTTTCTCCCTAAATGTGTCTCCAAAACCAACGGCTACAAATTTATAGGAAAAAAAAGAAGTAGCATCTCATTATGTAGTCACTTATCATGCTCCAAATCTCTGGTAGTGAAGGTGGTGTTCCAGAGACTGGACAAATATAAATTAGGACAGGGATGTGTTGTTATTCTAATCTGTTGCTAACTGTACAATATCTCAAAATATCACCGCTGTCCAGCCTTCCAACTGCAACACAGGATATATGCAGAACTCACATAGAAGCACAACACATTTTAGGATAGATGGTTGGAAATCATGGGTCTTCATTATTTACCAATAATGAAATATGTCATCACGTCTTGGCAATATTTGCTTTAATACTCAAATTAATCTCCAAAAAAGGTTGCCAGAGAGTGAAGCATGGTCCAGCTTTGACAATTAAACTAAAAAAAAATATGAATTAAAGCACAACATTGAATAACAACACTCTGAGGGGCTGCAGGGATATTCTATATCAAGACTTGAGTTATCAAATCCATATTAAAAAAAAAGATTTAAGCAAAAATTAAATACTCAAAATAAATACATGGTTTTAAATTTGGTTTTGCATTGCTAGTAACTGACTAATTGTATTACAAACGGATCTCCGCTTACCACTGAATGTAGGTGTGATTGTGCTCCAGTTTGTCATAGTCGCCTCTCCACTTTGAAAGAATTTCCTCGATGTAAATACCTGAGGAGAGGAAGCGGAACAGGAAATGTTGCACGTGTTCATACGTCACTCACGTTTCAGCTCAGTCAACTGATCTGCTTCAGCAAAATCAAAAATGGATTTTCCTGCATCCTGCTTCTGATCTTACCATCGGGAACCAGTGGGATTTTGTTCATGTAAAAGCGCAGGTTTCGATACTCGTTTGGCTGCCTGGACTTTCTGTAGTTCTGCACAGAGACACATGGAGTGAACACATTAACTCAGGATATCTACATGCATTTATGTGGAGGTAGAAGAAAGGATTTTTTTTTGTTTTTGGAACATGCAAGGTTGTGTGAATATACCGGATAGCTGTGACGGTATTTGTAGAGATCCCTGGCGGCGTAAAAACTCCTCTTCATCTTAGGAGCAGACTCTGGGGAATCAGTCAGCTGAAAGTGGAAGATGGAAAAGAAGAACATTAATAAAGCAGAGGAAGAGATGAAAAGACAGCTAAAAGTAAAGAGGTCAAAATACAGGTCAAAACAGAGCAAAATAAATAAATAAATAATCCCATGTTACAACAGATGGAGTGTAGCTCTTATATGCTGTTCAAACGATTTAAAAGCATTTGCTCTCTTTTGAGGTCAAGTGCTGTCATCATTCATTCGCTTCTAAACAGCAAAGGAGGCCAACTCACATCAGTACCACGCTGCAGGCCCTGGAGAAGGATCCTGCATGTGAACCCTGTGTATAGTTTAGAATTTGCGAAAAATGTACTCACTTAGTTAGTGATTACATTTAGACGGTTATGACATCTCTGGACTTCTTAAAGAAACCAATTTTACCACATCTTGAGATAAGCCTGCCGATTTGTTAGTTTTAGAGAGAGCAACAATTTGAGCAGAAAACAGGAAGGCTGAACTTGAAGCTAATGTAAGCTGTGCCTATGATTATTATACCAAAAAAAAAACAAAAAAAGAATAAGGAATAAAACCAACTTTAATGCTAGCTCTCTCACATGTCGCCTCGTCTTCTCATCAAAACAAGTTCCCCAAAAAACATTCTTCTTAGATGCACTTTTACTACAATTCTCTTTGATCCTTTAGGAAGGCTTTTAAAACACATTTGCATTTTCAGAATAATGAACTGTGCTGCTTTGTATTATATATGAAAAATATGTTAACAGGCCAGCTGAAATTATTAACGTTTTATCAATTATTAATTTAATAATCAACTAATTCCATTTCTATTTTTTTTATTAAAAATAGCCAAATTAATCTTTATTTGCAGCCTTAGTTGACAGTCAGTTCCTCTGCAGGTTTTTGCTCCCCACTGTCACCCCTTTCTTGCAGAATTGGGATCATATTGTGATAAAAATCCAGTGCAATCTGCTGGTTGCCTTGATAACATTTTTCTGCTATAATGGTTAAGCCAGTCACACTGAAATGAACCATACTGTACATATACTGTATATTTGCAGAGTAAGGTGCTTTTTAAGCCATATAAACAAATATAAAAATGACAATCTATTTATAAGTCTCCCTAATGATTCTCCGTTAGAAAAGCCACCTATAGGTTGTCACCGACTTTACATTTAAATGTTAGGTTTCGAAAATGAAGTTTGCCCTCAGCTTGGCCTTGTCAGAACACCGCGCGCTGCTGACGGAGCGCGCGGTGCGTCCGTCTGTTCCAGCGCGTGCATCACATTCATCACCCCCTCCTTGTACCTGCAGGCCAGCGTCCCCGCTTTGTCCCGCGGTCCGATCGCTCTCCGCTGGGCTGACGGAGTCGGAAATGCCGCTGTCATCTTCAGCCGTCGGCTCATCGCTCTCCGAGTCCGATCCCCACGTCGAGTCGCATTCCTCCACGGTGCTCGGCTCCTTGAAGCGCCAGCTGCCCACCAGGTTTCCCATTTACAATGCATGCAACTCTTGCCCCCTGTTATTGTCCTTCCGTCTGCGCTGGACGCTCCATCATCGGGTCCGCTGCTGCATGCGTTCAGGGGCTTCAGCACTGAGCTTTTAAACAGCATAAAAAAGGGGGAAATTCCACATCAGCAGCAATGATGCGCGTTTCAGTATGGGTGGTGATTAGTGCCACCGGGAGGAAGGGGGAGGTCTTAAAGCTGCAGATACAACCATCTCCTGCCTTTAAGAGGGCCAATAAAAATAAACAGTCCTTTGTCTGCTATTTCCCCCAACTATTTAATATTTTAAGTAACTTTGAAACTATACTGAATAATTATGCATAATTAATATTTTACTATATTTGAAAGTCACTATTATAAATTTAAATGTATCATAAGACATTCAACCAATTTGACTTTTACCCCAAACCATATTATGCATATCATATATATTTAGTTCACAAAGACCATCTTAGATATTAAAGGTACACTATGCAACCGGTGTTGATTTTCCAGTGAGGCTCCCTCCAGAGGGCGAAAGTAAAAGTGCACTGTCGTAAATATGCTCAGCTGTTCTCCTGGTTTCTCCGTCAAGCCAGGCGCGGTTGTTTTGAGCTTAGCAGCGAATGACTAACGCTGCGTTCACACTGGATGTAGCTGGCGCGACAGAGGCAGTGAGTTTACATGCAAAGGTCCCGCGGCGCGTTTTGAGCTGCAGGCGCAGCACGTCTGAGCGGCTGCAGCAGCGCGTCGGGTGCGTTTAACGCAGGGAGAGAGACACAGCGCTGATGATCACTGCTCTTAAACAGTTTATTGACGCCTAAATTAACTTAAAATGCAGAAATCTGCCGGCAGAATATGCAGTTTGGATTATTTAGATGAAAAACACCTACCAGCTGCCGCGGTGAACCGCTGCTGATGAAGGGATCCATACTGTCGGCGCCCCGCTGGTATGTGGTGGTCTGAGCGGCTCCGACAGAAAAAATATTGAAGGCAGGATAATAATCTGAATGAACTGACTGCACTGATTACGTTTTCAGGTGTATTTTCTCACTTAAAAACATATTAAAACTACTTTATTCCCACTGATCACAGCAAATATAGCTGCAAGGCAGAGAAAGGATAGTGAAGCTCCGCCCAACGCGCCTCAGACACACTTTTGCAGCCAGAGCAGCAAAGCTGCTTCAGCCGCGCGTCAGTACTAACTGGTACAAGCAGCAAAAATGAAGCAGCAGATGCGATTTTGCTGCTTTTGCTGCGTGAACGTAGCATAACTGCACAAAGATTGCCACTGTGCTAGCAACGAGAATGCTTTTAACTGGGGGGTGTAGCAGTTCTCGCCGTAAAGCAAGACTGACTCTCACGAGACTTCTGAGCCTGTGGGTGCGGGTCGGTGCTCCTGCAGTTGCAAGTGCAGTATTTCCCCCACAGACCACCAGGGCGGCCGAGAATACCTTTGTTCAACCTGAAATGACTCATTTAGTCATCCATAACGTTATGGAACACATTAATTAACTGAAAAATGTTGCATAGTGTCCCTTTAATTCAATTCAGTTTATTTAGATAGCAACAACACAAGTCATCTCAAGGCACTTTACAGTTGAACCAGATCATCCAGTCAAATTGATTGAAGTTTTCTATCTAAGGAAAACCAGTAGATTGCATCGACTCATTGACTCAATTGCAATCCCTCACACTAAGCATGCTTGTAGTGACAGTGAAGAGGAAAAACACCCTTTTAACTGGAAGAAACCTCCAACAGAACCAGGCTCTGTGTGAGCGGCCATCTGCCGAGGCCGACTGGGGTTCAAGGAGAGAGAAGCAGAGATAAAACAGCCCGATCTCCAGCATCTATAAACAAGGGTGTTGATGGAAGCAGCACAGGTGATATTTCTCTCCAGGATGGTGTCACAGCCAAACAGGAAAAGGCAAGGAAAAAGCTACTATGAGAAAAAGCAAAGAGAACATAACGTTAGAGAACTAACAGATTCTGCAGATTGGGAGAATAGAGACAGAATGAAGCGAATGATGAAATGGGGGTCCCTATGTCCTCCAGAAGTCTAAGCCTATAGCAGCATAACTACAGAGATAGCTCAAGATACTGTAATCTGAGCCACTCTAACTATAAGCTTTATCAAAATATTATGATGTTTTAGGATAAAGCTTTGAAAACACTACAAACTATCTGGCATGCCGTTTCACCACCACTGTCTTTGCAAAGGGTTGACAGAATAAAGATTGAGGATTACCTTTATCCTGGTCACTATTCGATCTGTTTGGACTCGAGCACATTCTGTACTGTAATTCTAACAGAACATCTATCACTTATCCATTTGTATTTCATTGTAATAAATGTTTGGTTTATTGCCGTATTTCGTTGTGCTAGTATAACTAGTGTGTAATAAAATAAATGTTTAATAAATGTACTTATACAGGACTTGACCAAGCGCTTTGCGCTACATTGAGTTATTCACCCATTCACACACACACTCACACACTGATGAAAGCAAATTACACTGTAGCCAAAGCTGGCCTGGGGCTCGCTGACAGAAGTGAGGCTGCCGTACACTGGTGCCACCAGGCCCCCTGACCACCAGGCAATGCGGGTGAAATGTGTTGCCCAAGGACACGACAACACTGAAACCCAGAGCAACCCTCTGGCTGCAGGGCAAACTCCGTCATCCGACACCACTGTCGCCTCAAGATAGAACAAGACAACAAAAGGTAAGATTAAAATTGTGCAATCATTATCTGCTGGACTGTTCATTAACTTTTGGCAAATTATAAATTTAACAAATAGGAAGCAAACACATCTACCCTGTCAGCAAAGTGTTTTTTTTGTTTTTTTTACCATTTTGTACAATTTAGTTCAGCATGCTTTTATACTTAAGGATTTAACAATGGTCTTTATGCACAACTCTACTACTTTCAAAAATTAAAGCAGCTCATTTGTTTTCTGTCTTTCTCTAATTGATGAATAACTCAGGTGTGCCTGACCTCAGTAACCGTGACGACAGTAGCAAAACACACCTGGATTAATCAGTTCATCCAGGATTGAAATCAGGAAACAAATGAGCTGCTCCAAATTCTGGAAGAAGTGGAGTTGTTCATAGAGCCCATTCCTTTCCACAGTGTTTCCTAAAGCATCTTCTGTAGCAATTTGGATGTATTTCTGGTTGCACATGTAAACAATTGGGTAGTGACAGGCCTCTATGTAAATAACTAACTCATAAAAGCATCCTGATGGTTAAAAAGTTCACTAAACACTGTCAGCTGTGTTTGGAGATGGTAAAATAATCTTAAAATTGTTTGTTTAAACATTGTAAAATTACTTTGTATTTGGAGCATTCCTCCTAGATTTTTTTAGTACCTAGTCCCCTTAAGTCAGGCATCCCCAAAGTTGGTCCTTGAGGGCCGCAGTCCTGCAGGTTTTAGAGGTTTCTCTGCTTTAGCACAGCTGATGCTGATTAATCCAGTTCAGCAAAAGCCTGTTAATCAACTATTAATCTAAATAAGCTGTGCTGGAGCAGGGAAACCTCTAAAACCTGCAGGACAACGGCCCTCGAGGACCGACTTTGGGGATGCTTGCCTTAGGTTTAAAAAAAAAACTAGGCCGTGTCATTGCTGAGAAGGAGTGAGGTGTTGGTTCTAACCCTAATTTGCATAAGACAAAGTTAGTGCATAGCTGAATGGAAATATGATGTAAGATCTAAGCAGTTATCATTCAAATCAGACTTACTGAATCAACCTTGAAAAGTACACCAGAGCTCAATATTTTTTGTTGCTGTTGTGAGCCTGTAGTTTGGCCTACCTGTTCGCTCAAATAAATGCCCCCTGTAGATGAGGCTGTGGCATTTGGCAGAATGAACAGAACTTTTAACATTGATGTGACTTTGACTGTAGGGTTTGCCTGGCTTCCCTGCTGCAGCTTCTGAAGTTGCTGTGATGAGAGAAACTGAGTGCATTTCTGACATCAGTGTAAACGTAGGAGACACTCGCGGGAAATAAAGTGAAACTTAGGAAGAGATGATCGAGACTTGATCAATCGTGTCATTAAAGTAGTTTCTGTTGTGCAAGCAAATAAAGGAACTGAGGGTTCATCAGTTTTGCCTCTTGTGACATCACGAGAAAATGAATAAGATGACATGCTTAATCCAATCCAATCTAATCCACTTTATTTATATAGCACGGTTTAAATAAACACGAGGTTTCCAAAGTGCTGCACAAAAAGATAAAATAACTAAAATAAATAAAAGTAATAAAATAAAATAAAAGCACTGCCAGCACAGGATAAAAATATGCATGTGTATACATAAAATCAACATGTGTACATAATAATAGTACGTAATAATGATGTAGTTTCATAGATTGTATCCATTTTTTATGATAAGGTTCAGTTTTCTTAATATTTTTTAAGTAAAATGATACAACAAATATAGGGTCAATAACTTTGTAAAATACACTCTAACCTACAGAGCAGATTTAAGCCCTACACATTAGCTATTGTTTTGTTATTATTTATGCTTTCCTGATTTGTCAGGACCAAGCAGATAATACATTTGGAAGCGGATGACATCAAACTGTAAAGATCCAGATGCAGATTCACAAAACTAGATAATCACAGGTTAGAGTTGTCAATATTCCTTTAGAGAAAGCATTTTAATACTTTCTTTAAAGGTTTAAGGCCTGTTGCCTCAGGTATAGTAACTCTAACACATACTTTAATAAAGAATACAGAAAGTTGTACTGAAAGTTGATTTATACAGCTTATTTTGAAAATCAGTGTTTGTTAGTTCTGATAATGTCTCTATGATTTTGTTGTGAAATGAAGCATGTCTGACAAGAATGAATGCTTTTACTTTGGGCCCTTGAGTTGTTACATCATGTTCTACTCACCCATATGAGTTTTGTGTCATTTGGAGCTGTTCTGAAGATATTCCTTAGGTTATATCCAAGTAACGTCTTCCTATGGGCAAACAATTTGAAGGAAGAAACTAAACTGTTCAT